TGTTTTATTCTTTTATTAAGCTTTTCCACCTCTGTGACATTTCTTATAGTTGTTTTAGTCTCATTGCTGTGAAGATTTTTTTTCTTTCTTTTTTTTTTGGCTAGGCAAAGTGACTTGCTCAGGGTCACACAGCTAGTGTCACATGTCTGAAGCTGGATTTGAACTATGTGAAGATTTCTTTTTAAAGTTTTTTAGGGGTCTCTCCCCTTCTCCTTTGTTGCTGGGATTTGTGCGTGATTTTTCTTACAAGGATTTTGTATTGTTTTAATTTATTTGGCATATATCTTTGCTAAAAATATGACTATTCTATTCAGCCATATTGCTAGAATTTCACTTTCCTTTTTTTAAAATTAAAGTCATATAGACCATTTTCAGGGGGAAAAAGTGCAATAGCTAACATTTATATAGCAATATAGGCACTGTGCTGGGCACTTTAAGAATATTAGCTCATTCTATCCTCATAACAACCCTGGGAAGTAGGTGCTATTATTGTCCTTATTTTACAGAAGAAGCAACTGAGGCAAACAGCAATTAAGTGACTTGCCCAGGATCATGCAGCTAATAAGTATCTGAGACTGGATTTGAACTCAGGTCTTCCTGACACCAGGCCTACTATTCTCTCCACTCTGCCACCTAGCTGCCCCAGAACGATCTGAATTATTCATAGAATCGTGGTGTTAAAAGGATCTCAGAGGCCACCAAGAGTCCCTTATAAAAATACATGGAAAGAGGTTATGCAAACTTTACTCGATGGCTTCCAGTGAGAGTGTTGTGGTGTAAGAGGTTGAGAGGTTGTGACCCCTCAAAGACCGGAGTACAGGACTGGTCTTCTGGAATGAATTCACAGACTCAAGCATTCTTTAATTCAAAGTGGCAAAGATTTATTGTTATTTCAGCAGGCAAGGATTCTTAAAGGATCATGCAAGAGACTGTAAATGCAGCTAGGGTTTATATGGAAAAGAGCATGGGAAAGTAATGCCAGGGACAGTGATGAGGTAATCCAAAGATGCAGGTGTCTTTGGGGGCTGTGGATGGGAAAGTACAGGGAGCATACCGGACAGGGAGGGAGATGACATTGGTATGGATCTTTGGAGTCTGGCAGGAGGAAGAGTCCTTGGGCTGGCCAAGGACAAAACTCCTTGTCCTGAGCAAGGCACCCCTCTCCCTCTGTCTTGATGAGAGAATGTTCTGCAACAAGGGAAAGCTTTCTTACAAGACAGGAACTACTAAGGAATTGGGAGGCTTCCAGAGACATGATCGGAGGGCTGGAGCCTGAGCAGCCCAGCTCTGTGTAGCTGTACCAGGGATAGAGATAAGGGTCATGCTGAGGCCCATGCACGAATAACTGCTGGGCACAGTGTCCTTGGGCTGGAAAGTGGTTGTCAGAGACAGTGTTTCTGAGACTAGGGAGAAATTGGGGTACAAGTACAAGCACCCAAACACAAGCACCAAAGCACCCCATCAAGAGGGCATGCACTACCTTGCAATATGGCAAAAGTTTAATTTTTCATAGTTTGTCTTTCTTAAATTCACCTTTTTATAACTCCCAACTCTTGTACCTATTTTCGGTCTTTGGAGCCCAGCAGAACATGATTAATTCCTCATCCATGCAACAACTCTTCAGATACTTAAAATAGCTATTGTGTCCTGTATAATTCTTTTTTAGTCATCTCCTCTCCAGATAATCTAATCATAATACTCCTCTCCCTGATGATTCTCCCTCTATCCATTCAAACATTCCTCAGTCTCCTTTGCTGGTTCTTCATCCATACCATGACCACTTGGGTGTTCTCAAGGCTCTGTTCTGAGTCCTTTCCTCTTTTTGCTATATATTATCTCAGTAATCTAATCAGCTACCATGGGTTCCTTTATCATCTCTATGCACATCATGTCCTGCTCTATGCTTTGGGTCTGTACATAAAATGAGCCCTGCCCTTCTGCTGAGCCTTAGACATAAAATTCCAGCTACTTTTTGGATATCTGGAAATGGATGTCCTGTAGAAATTTCAAACGGTGACACGCCCAAAGTAAAACTTATCTTCCTTCTCACTTCTCTTCTGAACCTTCCTATTACTATTCAGGGTATTGCTATCATCCCCATCACCCAGGCTCACCTTGGTGACATCCTTGACTCCTCACATTCTCACTCCTCATATCCCGTCTGTTGTCAAATCTTGTTGATGCTTATAGAATCTCTTGTGTACCCTTCTCTGTACTGATACAGTAACCTCATTAAGCTTAGGCTCTTGTTATTTCTTGACTGAATATTTCTTGTCTAATGTATGAACCCTGTAATCAGTCTCCTTGCCTAGAGCCTCTTCTGCTGTAATCCATTGTCCACTCAGCTGACAAGTTTTTTGTTTTTGTTTTTGTTTTTTTTTGGATAGATCTGACTGTATTACTTTTTTGCTCAGTGAGAGCTAATGGCTCCCTATTACCTTTAGAATCAAATATAAATTCTTCTGTTTGGCATTTAAAGATCTTCAGAATCTGTCCCCTTCCTGCCTTTCCATTCTTCTTACACTTTATTTCTGTACAGATACCCTATGATCCAGCCACCCTGGACTACTTGCAGTTCTGGGAATGTGACATTTCATATCACATCTTTGTGCCTTTGAATGGGGCTGCTCTGCCAGTCCTGGAATGCTCTGCCTTCTCACCTCTACCTCTTAGATTCTCTGGGCTCCTTCAAGACTCAGCTCAAATATCAACTTCTGTAGGAAGATCCACTAAGCTCCTACTGCCTTCTTTAGAGCGAGAGTAAATAAACATTTATTAAGTGCCTACTGTGTGCCAGGCACTGTGCTAAGCATCCGGCATACAAGACAGCACCTTCCCTCAAGGAGATCACAATCTAATAAGGAAACACAAAACATACAAGGACAACATATGCAAAGGAACTAAAAAGGAGGGGGAGGGGATATGATGAAATCTTGCATTCAGATGATCTAAGGAGGTGAGATTTTTGGAGTTGATTTTATCTTGCAAAATGATGAGTTTCTGGAGATCATGAAATCCAGCTGGATGGGAAATAATGAGGTGATGTAATGTTTTTGGTGAGTGTCTGAGATTACCTTCCTCTCAGAGACATGCAAATCTGATCAAAAGGGTTTCAAACTGAAAATGAAGGTGGAAGAAAAGAGTTACAAATATTCACCAACCTAGATTCACAATGTAGGAAGATGAGTGGCACTGGAAATAGTGAGAAATTCGAAGCAAACAAAAATTGAATAAAGGACACAGCAATAAAAATAGACATATATGTACCTGGTTATTTATACTTTTTTTCCTCCATTAGAATGTAGTTGTTTGAGGGCAGAGACTATTTTTAAACTTTTATTATATCTACGATGCTGGCACGCGGAAGCGCCTAATAAATTTTTACTGTACTGACCTGACTTGACTTCTCCAAGCCAATATTCCCATTTCCTTTAATAAAATTCTCATATTGCATTATTTCAATATCTTTTACCACCCTGGTCACCCCCTTCTCTGTACAGTCTCTAGCTTATCTCTGACCTCAACTGTAGAGCCCAGAATTGATCACAGTTCTATGGAATTTACATGACAAGAGAAGAATACTATAGTACTATCATTTCCTTAGTTTCCACTTTAATTACTGGAACCTATGCTCCTATTCACTTTTTTGACTGCTATGCGGCACATTTGACTCACTGAGCTTGTAGGCCCACCCTGCTAACAGTTAGTTCTTCCTTGTTGAAGAAATGTAGAATAGAATTTTCTCTTGTTTATTTCATCCCCATTTGAAAGATGAAAATATCATTAAGGCTCACCAAGGAATTATTAATTCTTCCATATTAACAGAGCTCCAATGTATTCTCTATATAATGAAAGTTCCTCATCACTTCTTTCTCATATTCCTTGGCCAGGTTTGCATAATTCCCCATATCTATCTTCTTTTTGTCCAGATGGTAGTATCTTCTGAAGTCAACTTTGATTCTATTTTTGCCTCAGTGGGTCTTTCCTTCAGTTTTCCACCGTACTTTAATCCCAGTGGTCCTTGGATTTCCTCACATGAATGGTTCTTACAGTGCTACTATGTATCCTCCTAATCCTGCTCCTTTTGAATAAGGTTAGTCTGCCAGAACCATATTTCAGTGCCAAGTCCTCTCTGACCAACTTTCAGTAATTCCTGTGATGCTGAATTTGCTTTTTTTTTTTAAGGCTTTCTATTTTACCTTATTTATTATAAATGTTTTGTGGTTTTGTGTATAGATAAATAAGACTATGGCTGTTACTGCTGTGTCCTTTCTTGAATTTTTGTTTTTGGTGAATGTCTAGTTATTTCCAGTGCTGCTCATTTTCCTACATTGTGCATCTAGGTTGATAAATATTAGTAGGTATTTTTCTCTTCCACCTTTGTTTTCAATTTAATATGCTTTTGATTAGATTTGCAGGTCTAAAGGCAAATACTTTGTCATTAGTTCTTGTTAGTTTTATCATCATGACTTGTGCCAAGCCTGACTTTCTGATATTTTAACACATGGCAAAAATATGTGAATTTCGTTTTCAGACATCAGTTGTTTGTTTCCCAAGTCTGATTTTTCTTCTGAAGCCCTTGCCTTGAATTGACATTTATGATGTTCATACCATTTGAGCTCTGAAGACCTTTTTCTTGATCAAGACTAATCTTTAATTTTGTAGCATGGTCTAGTTTCATTTGTCTCTGTATGAGTCACCTAATGTGATCAGTTGTTATCAGGTTTGACAAGTCTGTGGTTATTTTCCTTCTTTTCTTCCTTTGACTAATCAACTGTTTCTAGTAGTACAGGAAGCAATCGTGGGAAGGCACTAGGCCCACAAAGTAGAAAATAATTATTTTTTTCTGTTTGATGCTTCTGTAGTTTAAACTTTCTGTTGTTTAAAAAACCTACACCAATAGAAGTACTGACTTTAAAACTGACTGCTCTTCAAATTAATGTAAGGTACTTAAGAATGTGATATTCAATTCCTTATTTCCCCTTTTTCTTCTTAATTAGGTTTGCCAGTGAAAATGTCTGACAAAACCTCATCTTCTGATTCTAGTAGCCAGACTTCAAAGAGTAAGTTTATTCTTTAATGTTTAACTTGTGTTTCCAAGCTTTCTGGCCATTAAAATAAAAATTGAAATCATTAAATTCTTTTATGTTTTAAAATATTTTTTAAGGTTTTACTTTCTTGACCTCAAAACCGTAACAGTTATTTTCAGAGATAATTATTGCACTAAAATCCTGTCTGGGTGCTTTAATGTGACTTGGAGATGCCTCTGGGTTCTTGAAGACTGTATCTGTGGTGTAGTAGAACTTTTGAAAGGTTCAACCAAGATGATAAAAAAGATTTTAGGGTGAGCCTAGTTACCAGCTATTTATCATGATAAGTTCAACCTTGCCAAGTTCAGAAAAGCTCCTCGCCAGAACTGAATTTCAATTTAATTCAAATAATTTTAACAAACATTTATTGTTTATTATATATAAGGCACTGTGTAGTTGCTAGGGCCACAGAGACAAAAACCAAAGTCTTTGCCTTTAAGAGCTTACCTGCTAAAAATTGCAAGATTGGCCATCTGCCATTTTTTTTTTATCACTGCCATATGAGAGGACTATCCACTAAAAAAATTAGGGGTTATGATCAGTGTTAGTTAAAGGGCTGTCCATGTCAGTGAAATCAGACTGTAAAGTCAGAATTATCAAAGTAGAATGTTATTGGATTATAGTTTATGAGATGATTAGCATTATATACCATATATTAATTTTTCTCCATAATGGTCTACTTGAGTCCTCATCTTGGCATAGAGGTTTCCCTAGGTTCTTAAAGGCTATGCCAGCATGACTCTAATTCTATCAATTTTCACCATACTAGAGAGGCTTCAGAGTTAGCCATGGCATAGCTGGGAGACACGTGATCAGAAGACTGACCTGAAATTGATGAATTAATTTGCTATGGCAACCCATGAAACAAAGAAAAATTTTAAAAATGGAAAAGCAGGCATGGAGAACATTGTTTAGATTTTCTACAGATATTAATTTAGCCTTTAGTAGTCCAACCATGAGATTCTTGCCCAATACAATACCATATCTGTTTTATTCTTCCTTTGATAATAATAATGAGCTAATTGAACAATGTTACCTGTATTGCATCTAAATTAAGAATTTTTCTCTCAACTGAACAAATGCATGGAGACACCTTTTTGGAGGAGAGCCTTTAATGCTAGATTTGTGCTCTACCAAATTAAATATTATTCTGTTGTTAACACACAGTACGTATGGTGGTATCTGTACTAATCATTCAATTTTGTGCTCTGTCCCACTTAAATCCAATTCATTCACTAGTCAAGACATCATTCTTATGATGCCATTGGTCCTCTTTGAGAACAAAGGACAAACAACAATAACAAGAGTGAGGGGAAATAGATACTCTGAATGCTGCAGTGATCCACATAATATTGAGACTTTCTGGCTATTTCTAAATCATATCTCCTCCTCATCTTACTGTGTGAACTTGGACATTGGCCTTTGATAGGTTAATTTTAATTTTATCTTGATGGCGATCAGGCCACTCATGCCACATCCTGATGGTCCCCCCACCCCCCCCCCCATTAGAAGGCAAACTACTTAAAGACAGAGACTATCTTGATTGCTTATATTTGTATCTCTTGTGCTTATCACAGTGCCTGGTATATAGTAAGTGCCTAATAAATGTTTTTCATTCATTCATTGACTTATTTATTCATTCATTCACTGATTCATTTATTTACCTAGAAGACAATTAGCATGATAGATGAACTCCCTCTGGAGGATTTATAGGTATATTTTGGCAGGATTTACCTAGGACAAGAAGGCATGGGTAGGTTGCCATCTGTACCATTGGAGGGAATACCCACATCATTGGCTCCCTATTGCCCCCTAAGATACTTCTTCTACATTTGGCTCCGACTTAGCTTCCTAGGCTGATTTCATGTTACTCCTCCTCATACAATCTATATTCCAGCTAAATTGTCTCAAATTGCTATTCTTAGCATGCAAAGTTTCATCTTTTGCCTTTGCACAGGCTTCCACCCTCCCCACCCCCATGCCTGGAATGTTTTTCCTTCTTGGCTCCACTTTCACCTCCATCTCCATTCCTAGCTTCTTTCAAGGCTCAATTTAAGTGTCATCTCCTACTCAGGGCCTTTCTTGAGCCCTTTCTATAGTAGCTAGGAACCTTCCCACATGAAATTCTTTGCAGTTAACATGGAAGATATTTTAGAGGTAGTCATCTGGATGTATGTTTTCCCCTCTCCCTTTCCCCACCCCCAAATAGTAAACTTCTTGGAAGAAGGAATTATTTTATTTTTGTCTCAGTGCCTTTTATAGGTTCTTAACTGGAATAGGGATTTAATAAATGCTTTTTGAATTGAATGGAAACATTGAAAAAGTATTAATTTCCATCTTTTATTTGAGGGAAATTTTGTAGTGCGATAGTGATTTTTAAATTTTTTTTAGAAGTTTGAGAAATAGAAGAAAACCTTCCTAAAGCGGTCTAATAAGTAGGGAAAAGTAAATTTGAAGTAACAAGTAGTAGAAAAAATAAAAACATTTGTTAAATGTTTTATCGTGTTGATAATGGAAAAATGAACTTAATCTAGTATTTGTTTCAAATTAATTAACCTTGGAATTTGTGTTTTGCTTTTTTAGCTGCAGAGTGAAACTTGTTATTTAAAACATAATGAAACTCAAAGGATGTACCAGTAGTCTTTTTGGCTAAGTACTGGAATAGATTACAACAACTGTTAGTTTTATTGCCAGATAGCTATGTACAGTTTAGTGTGATTGACATTTTCTGTAGGTGTTCAAGGATAAGTTAAGAACAAAGATATAGTAAGTAAAATCATTAAGCAACCTATGTTTTGCTTCCTATTTTAGAACCCCAGTTGGTAATGCATTTTTTCTCTACTCACTGTAAACCAGAGATTATAAATAGAATAATCTGATTCAGTATGTTAACATGTGTAGCAATTATCTCTTTTTTGGAGAAATTTTTTAAAAATCATGCCTCAGAGACGGTTAAGAGTACTGTCTGATAATGTTCAGCTATAATTCAAAGAAGTAATTGCCATGTATTGCAAACCTCTTTTCAATATAAACTGAGCTACTTTGATATTACTCCAACAGGTTTCATTCTTCTGCCTCAATGCCTTTCATTCATGCTGCTCCCTCTGCCAATAAGGCACTTCCATGAATTGCTACTTCCTCGCTCCAGTTCTGCTTATCATAGTCTTCAAGGCCTAATTGAAATGTCATCTCTTCCATGAAACCTTTACTTCTTTCCTAACCAGAATTAATCTCAGTGATCTCTGGAATTCCACAGTACTTTGTACCTTTAAAAAATTTTGTATTCTACACTGTATCATTATTATTACTATTTCTATACGTCTGTGGTAAGAGCAATATTTGTCATGTCGTCAAGGTTAATTTTTCCTTGTGTTCAGTTACTTTTCAGTAGTGTCCAACTTTAGTGCCCCATTTGGAGTTTTCTTGTCAGAGATACTGGAGTGGTTTGCCATTTCCTTCTCTAGCTCATTTTACAGATGGGGAAACTGAGGTAAACAAGGTTAAATGACTTACCCAAGGTCACATAGCTAGTAAGTGTCTGAGGCCAGATTTGAACTCAGGAAGATGAGCTTTCCTGATTCCAGGCCCAGCACTGCATCACCTAGCTGCCCCAATTTTTTCGTAAAAGGTGTTAGTCTTTGAGACTAAATTTCTTCAGGAGACTCAGAGTTAGGCTATTAATGTAGCTTCCTGGTGGCTTAAGTACAAAAACTTGCCCACCAGGAAGCAGGAGTTGGTCCTCCCTCAGACTTTTTAGCTGGCAAACCAGCATGGCCAATACAAATGCAGGGGAGATTTATAAAACTGAAGCAATGGAGTATCTTGGCTGCCTATCCATTTCCAGAGATAGCCAAATGGAGTTCCTCCTTTTGTTAACTGTTAAATGGTCTCTGGCTATCTCATTTTATTCTGGTTCTGAACTTGAAACATCAGACTGATCAGAAGCTGGCCTAGCTTACAACAATGTTTTATCTTACCTACTAGACTGTAAGCAATTTGTGGGGAGAGATTACATCATTTATCTTCATGTTTCCCTAATCATCTATAATTTAGTGCCTTCTGTATAATAAGACCTCAATAAATATTTGTTGAATCAATAAATAACTGACCAGCTATGTAGGTGGTGCAAAGGATAGAGCTTTGGACTTGAAATCAGGAAGATGAGTTTAAATCCCAATGTGGATGCTTACTGTGTGACTATGAGCAAGTCATAACCTCTCTGAACCTCAGTGTCTTCATTTATAAAATGAGCGCCTACCTCACCCATTTATTGTGAAAATCGAAGGAGATAACATATGTAAATGGCTTTGCAAATCTCAGGGTGTTATATAAATGCTAGCTATCATTTAATGTGGGCAACGACTTGGCTTTGACAAGTTTTTGGAGAGTACTGAGTGTGGTGGCTGTGCTGAGGCCTGAACAGTACATTTATAAATATAAGTTTAGTACTTTGATGTGATCTCAGTGGTGTTACTACACTTCCCATACTTCTCATCCTGTGAACTTTTCATTCATGTCACTTCATTACTCTTTTGTAGAAGATATATCCAATGTGCTGTACCTTAACTTTTCATGTTTTTGTGAATTCCAGTGTAACATTCAGATTGTCCATCTGCTATCTCTCACTCTCATTAGATGACTAGCCATCTTCTCTATTTATCCTAGTCATGTCTTTCATGCTATTTCTTGCACATGACTCATTATTTATAATATGCGGCATTAAACATACATTCACCATAGATCATTATCTAGCCCTGTGGTTGAACTGTTATTTGGGCTTTTCTGAGGTTGCATTGCTCCACAATTTGTAACCATTTGGCATCACTGGGAGAATAATTTGAGCCTTGATGGATCCATGATCGCATCAATGTAGATACTTCCCATGCCAATCCACATCATATACTATGGTATTCTACTCCCTTTCTATCCTCTAATTTTCCACAAGATATATCCAACAGTAAAGACCTTCCTCC